TGCACACCAAAGTCTCAACCCCAGCCATGGAAGATGTCCTACTTGGCAACCTCCAGATCCTGGTTCTTTCTATAAATCCCAGTTCTGTAAACGAAGACCTTGCATGTTGGGAAAGGCACTAATATTGGTCTACACGACAAACACAAACGAGCTACAGAAACCAAGAAAGAAAAGATACAGGAGGAAATTCATGGAGGAGGTTTGTGGATCAAATGAAACGAGATCAAGTCATGGTTAAGGGACAATTAAGATAAACCGCAAGCCTGCATAGATGGTTCCTGAATTCGGGAAGAGATGCTTCACGATTCCTCAAATTTGTTATCTGCTGAAATACTCCAGCAAGAACATCCTCCTGCCTGATAATCCAAGTCTTACCTCTCAATCAGTTCTGATCACTTAGTATACCTTGATAGAGGTGAGTCCATTCTCTACAATATTCTTTCTTTAAGACATTTATATACAGGTAGTCTTCAACTCACAAGAGTTTCATTGAGCGACTGTTCAAAGTTAGAATGGCACTGGAAAAAGTGACTTGTGATCTTTTTTCACACTTACGACCATTTGTAGCATCCCCATGGTCACGTGATTTGCATTCAGATGCTTGACAACTGGCTCGTATTTATGACGGACGCAGTGTCCCAGAGTTATATGATCCCCTTTTGCGACCTTCTGGCAAGCAGAGTCAATGAAGAAGCCAGATTTACTTAACCGTCGGGTTACTAACCTAACAACTGCAGTGATCCACTTAACAACGGATACAAGAACGGGCATAAAATTCACCATCGTCTTGCTTGGCAATGGAAAATTTAGGCTAAATTGTGGTCGTTAAGTCGAGGACTATCTGTCTCTGCTTATCTTGTATTGAGCCCAATCAGCAATTAAAATAATCTCAATACGAAGTAAGAAGGTTGCTAGCACTAGTCTGAATGTTCTTAAGCCAGTCTATTGCTGTTTACTTGATCAGATTTTCTGGGCCACCTTCCTTGGAAATTAACTCTTGTTGCTAAAGTGGACGACTCCCATAACGATAAGAATCTGGTGCAGATCCCTAAGTAGTAATTAAGATATTACCCTCTCTTCTCCTTAACGTGTAATCTGAAACGGAACAATGCAGTCTGGATTATGATATGTAGCTGAAGCTGCAACATGGACAACACCTTTTACGGGACTGAGATGTCTGTTTTGTTCTTATGGAGAACTTTCTTCCCATTGTTTTCCCACCCCCCCAAGAGAAATGTTAGGGAAGGGTCGAAAGTAGAAGTTTACGGTCCAAATTATGTAATGGTTCTAGAAAAAACAATCTATTGCAGGGGTCCCCAATCCTCAGACCGTGGCACACTATCGGGCCGTGGCCTGTTTGAAACTGGGCCGCGGGGAAGATGGACAAGTGTGCACATATGAAGTTTGACTTGTGTGAGTGGAGGGCCCTATTCTCAAAAGTAGAGGGCGTGCGTCCACCACTCACATACATGGAGCTGTGTGTGCATGTGTGCACCTGCCACTCTCTCTCTCTCACACACACACACATACTCTGTGGCAGGCCGGGTCACCAAGCTGGAAAGGTTGGGGACCGCTGATCTATAGGATGTTCAAATCAGGGGTGGGATTCTACTGGTTTGCACCTATTCGCTAGAACCGGTTGTTAACATTCTAAGCAGTTCGGAGAACCGGGTGTTAGAAGAAATTACTGGCCTAATCCTGTAAGGAAGGTAGGAAGGAAACATTCTGGTGTTGCTTACAGAAACTGCCTGTCCGTTAACCCTTTTTACATTCTTGGCAGGACTGGACTTCCTGTCTCAGGAACTTCTCTGGAGTTTTTTTTCCCTCCGTTGTTGGTACTTTGCTTGTGTGGAGTGACCATTCAAAGTTACAATGGCACTGAAAAAAGTGACTTATGACCATTTTTCACGCTTATGACTGTTGCAGCATCCCCACAGTCATGAGAGGCCAGGCGAGGAGATGCGTGCCTCGATGTGAGTGATGTTGAGTTGGCCACGCTCAGCCAGTCACATGACCACCAAGCCATGTCCACCAACTAAGTCACGCCCACAGAACCGGTTGTTAAAAAAATTGAATCCCACCCCTGGTTCCAATGGTGCTTTTTCAAAAGGCAACTGGACTTCAGTTGTTCTTTGAAGACATTTCGCTTCTCATCCAAGAAGCTTCTTCAGTTCTGACTGACTCCATAGGGTGGCTATGAAGGAAGAACTTTCTAAGACCATCCTTTCTGACCTTGAGTTTCTCTGAATCTGCTGCAGGGAGACCTAATCGTGGCAAACTGCTACAGAAAACAGGGAACGGACCACACGGCCGGGATGAAAAGTAGAGAATGAAACCATTTCAACTAAATCATAAGATTGGATCTCTTCAGCGGTTGGACTGAAGAACGTTTTCAGATTGTTCCTAGGACGTCTTTTACTTCATTGAGATGGGATGCAATTGAAAGAAATATTAGAGGGTTTTACGTCCATGGTCAAAGTCCTATGATTTCACAGTTGGTTCTGGGGACCTGTCACTGAAGTCTTTGAGGGCAACTTCAGCATCCCTCTAACAATGAACTCAGAACAACCATCTCAACAGAACCCAAGTGGGACAATATAGAAGCGGTAGATTTTAGTATGCTCGGCGCCACTGCAATTTGTTATTTCATTTCTCTCTCTCTCTCTCTCTAATGTGAATTTTAAGATCTCGCAGACTAACACAACTGATTTAAGTCTTTAAAGGCTCTGACATACTAACCTTCTAGATCAGATGGTTCCTTCAAGATGCTTTGGAGTCTTATAGCAAGCAACACCCCTGGCCTACAGGGGTCTTCTGGATGTATGTGGAGATTGTTTCTACTTTTGGAACTATTAAAATAAATAGCAATTTGGGAAGCTGGAACCTGATGTGCTCCTAAAACATTAATGTACAGCTGTTGTGAAGTTTTATTCATTTAAGAACTTACACTCAGCCATGGTCCAAGAGGTTAGGAATGGTCTCCCAGAAGGGGCTCTTACACAATTCTGTGAACAATTTAAGATGCAGTCCCCTTGGATTCTGTGCTATCTATCATGGGAGTGGACAAGAGATGCCAAATCAAAAGTCATTGCAGATGATTGTATGCTCTTCATTGTAGCCACCCAAAGAAACCTTCTTCTTAGCTTTGGTACCTTTGTGCCTTTTTCAGGCAGAAGGTGGGTAATGAATATTTACTAGCTTGTGCTTTGCGCTGGGTCTTGGCTAAGTTCCTCTCTGCTTCCAATAGAATGTCTACATGAGTTTCTGCAAAGTCCCCTGTTCTGTAGGAGACCGAGCTGAGCTAGAAGGTGGGGTTAAAAGTGTCATCAGCTTGGAGTCTCTGCATTGCCACAAAAGAACATAAGAGCACTCTCCCTTGAACTCCGTTGACCCTTATCTAGCATCTATTTAGTTCTGACCACCATAGGTTGCAATAATAAACTCTTCTGTGATTTGAACTCAAGAAATGCTCCTGGTTAGTTGCACTTGACCTGTTCAATGCTACTCGTATTTAGAGGAAAGATGAAAACTTAGTTGGCCTGGCAGTGGTTTCCTATTTTCCACTTGGAGATAGAAAAGGATGGCTGTTGCTTCCCAACACTGAACCAAGTTTATCATAGAAGGTAGAGTGAAGTCATTCCTCATCCAAGCAACCTTACAGTTCACTCCCAATTATTGTTTATCTGTGTACCTTCCAAAATCCATGGAGAAGTAGAAAGAAGGAGAAGATAGATCGGGGAAAGGGATCCCAAGGTCTTACAGTAAAGCATGGCTTTTAAACAAACGTCAGGAAACCAACCAATCCTGCTGGTCACCCAACTTGGATCCTTCTAAGAATGGAAGTGCTAATGAAATGAAAGGTTGATTCAGTCTTCCTACCAAGAAGAGTTTTTTTTTTTTTTATCCCAAAGATAAAACCTAATCTCTTGAAACTTTGGAGAGAGAAAGGACTTGAGCTTCCCACAGATTTCGAACATCCACAGTATTCCATGTCACAAAATAGCCAGGATGGAATTAAGACAAAAGAGGAGAAATTTAAAGTGGTTAGTCCCCTTTAAACAATTTGAACAAAGCAGTTAAAAGATGAGCATCTAGAGCCGTTCGCCTTTTTAACTGCTTTGTTCAAAAAGAGGAGAATTTGTTCAAAGAATTAAGGGCAATTTCCGACTGTCTCCAGGTACAATGAAACAGAAACAGATAACAGGACGTCAATTTGTGAGGTTGCCACGGGCCTTCCTCTCTCCTGGAGAAACCTCTGGCGTAGCCCCAGCATTTCTTTTCAAGGACGCATATTGCTTCTTTATCCCTTTTTCCTCGGCTGATCAAAAATTGAATTTCATCTCCTCCCCTCCCCAAAAGGCTCCTGGGTTTCGCCCTCGCTTACTGAGGTCATAACAATCAGGTCTTGTTGTCTCTTTGGTAAAATAAAACACACACACATACACACACGCACGCACGCACACGCACACACGCACGCACACAAACATACAAAAGCAACACACTGCCCAATACGCTTCTGGCCCACAACGTCTGGCACGAAATTGTCTGTTCAGAAGGAAGCATTGGTGATGAGCTTTCCGCTCGTTGGAAGTTGGGTGCTCCTTGCTTTCTCTTTTGTTCTCCTCCTGGTGCCCGTCCCCTCATACTGTTGTGGCTGGGCCATACCGAAACAAGAGAGGGGAGGTGTCTTTGATTCGGACACAGAATCTCCCGTTGGGCCAGGTCTTTTGGAGCGAGAGGGGAAGAAAACTGTTTGGGAGCCACTGTTCCACGTCCTCCGATACAAACACTAATGCAAAGTGGCTCAACTGTTCTTCGCTGTAGCAGAGAGCGTTGGCATTTCCCAGGAGTTTGCGTGAGGCCTCGTTCGTCTCCTGGACCACCAGCTTCACCATGTCTTCTGCTGACATCTTGTTAGTGAGGGGCAGCTGTGCAAAAAAAAAAAAAAAAAAGAGAGAGAGAGAGACAAGGGAGGTGAGACAAAGAGGAAGGACGTGCGAGAATGAGGGCATTTCCCAAGAAGCTGCGTAAGAGTGCGGAGAAGAGCAACAAAAAGGATTAGGGGACCGGAGGCTAAAACGTAGTTGCAGGAATTGGGTATGTCTAGTCCAGGGGTCACCAACCTTTTGGACCTCAGGGACCACCAAACTCACAACTTTAAATCCCAGGGACCACTAACCGGTTCTGTGGGCGTGGCCTAAATTGTGGGTGTGGCTTGGTGGTCATGTGACTGGCTGGGCACGGCTTGTATGTAAATATTATAAATATTTATATAAATACTGATTTTTTTATATAAAAAGAGCAACTTTTACCCAAAATCAAGCAGAGCAGGCAGGCAGATTGAGTTGCTCACAGAATCACAGATTCATTCAGAGAGCTATCTATCTGCCATCGGCTAGCTCAGTCTCTCAAATTTGCTTGCCGCGAGTCTGCACTGAATAATAGAACCTTCAGTCCTAAGGGAGGTTCGGCTGTGCTTAAAAGCAGAGCCAAAGATCTAAAGACTAGCTAGAAAGCAAGAAACTTCCTGCTTCGTAGCTCATCTAAATCTCCCAGCTGATGGTCGGAAAAAGGAAAAATAGCAACTTAGCAGGCAAGTTTGCTGGGTAAGGAATGAGTGGGCAGGGAAGGTTCCCATGGGCCATGGGGGCAGCGCAGCCTTGTGTTCCTGCGCAGCCTGGATTAATTGCTTTGGGGGGGTGCTCTGGGGGGGTGAGATTTGATAACAGTGTTCCAATATATGGGGGGCTGCCACAAAGAAGAGAGTGTCAATCTGTTTTCCAAAGGCAAGGCAAGAAGCAACGGATGGAAACTAATCAAGGAGAGAAGCAACTTATAACTAAGGATGAATTTCCTGACAGTGAGAACAATTAATCAGTGGAACAATTTGCCTCCAGAAGTTATAAATGCTCCAACACTGGAAGATTTTAAGAAGAGATTGTACAACCATTTGTTTGGAACGCTACAGGGTTTCCTGATTGAGCAGGGGGTTGGACTAGATGATCTCCAAGGCCCCTTCCAACTCTGTTATTTTGTTATCCCCTAGACCAGGGGTCCCCAACCGCCGGTCCGCGGACCGGTACCGGGCCGCGGAACAAGCCTTACCGGGCCGCTGGTTGCTGGGCGCCGCCATCTTTTTTTGGTAAAAAAAGCAATTTTTCGTCAAAAAAGATGGCGGCGCCCAGCTGACGCCGGAACCGGGCCGCGGCGTCGAAAAGGTTGGGGATCCCTGCCCTAGACAATACATTTATCAGATTAGAACCTCATATTTTTGGTTTTGAATATTTTGCAAGTTCTTAAAATGTGAATTCTTGGTTTCTCTCTCCAAGGCATTTTGCAAAGCCTAAACTCCAGTACGTAGAACCACGTCTAGATCGGAGGTGGTCTTCAGCAGGTTCTAACCAGTTCTGGGTGAACCGGTAGCGGAAATTTTGAGTAGTTCAGAGAACTGGCCAATCCCACCTCTGACTGGCCCTGCCCACCCCATCTATTCTCCACCTCTCGAGTCCCAGCTGATTGGCTGGGTCTTCTTTGGTTGCCCTGCAGAGGAGAACGGAGCTGGAAAGCAGGTTAGTGGGGGTGGGGAAGTAATGGGGGATTTTGTTGTAACTTTCCCCCAGGAGTGGGGAGGGAATGGAGATTTTGCAGTAACTTTACCCTGCCATGCCCACAAGCCATGCCCACAGAACTGGTAGTAAAGATTTTTTGAATCCCACCACTGATCTAGATGTATGCTCAAACTGTGTCGCTCCTTCTGGCTTACTGGGGAGAAGACCCAACGTTGCAACGTGATGCTGGTCAGGCGGAACCAGGAATGTAAGGGTACCTTGATGCTGGTTTCTTTGGAGAGACCCGTTTCGTACTGAGCGCACACCCGTACAATGAAGGAACCTGGCAACCTGCCCCAGTTTGCTACACGTCCTGGCTCAGGCGTCTCCTGGAAGGTCTGAGTCCACTCTACCGAACGTGTCCGAAATACAGCCGAGCTCTCCACGTGCCAATCGTGGCTGGAGCCGAAAGCGGGCCTCGTTCCAGGTGGCACGGAGCCACAGTGGCCAGCAGTCCTGCTCTCGGTTGGGGAGCTGTCCACCGAACCGGGGCAAGATTTCCTGGCCCCGTGGCAGAAGGGCTTGGGGAAATCCAGACTGCTGGTCCGGACGCAGTAGGCCTGCCTTTTCTCTGTGATGCGCAGCAGCTCAATCTGTCGGCTGGGAAGCACGAAGTCACTGTCGTATTGCTCTGAGAGAGGCGGAGTCTCCTTAGGAGGAGGCATGGCGGGCATCTTGAGCTCGTGGCTCTGGAGGACGTCGGGGGCGCTATCCCGCAAAGGGCGGGTGGCTCTTCTCCTGCAGCATTCCAGTCCCGAAGAAGAAGAGTACACCAGGTCGAGTTCCCGAGGGCTCTGGGCGCTGCTGGAGTCGTAGTCGCTGTCGGTAGCTAAGAACACTTCCGAGGAGCCCTCCTCATCTGACATCCCATGCGAATCTGCAAGGAGAAGAAACAAAGGTCCCTTCAGCCTCCATTTCTACTATGTGCAGCTATCTCTACCATGTTCCGGAGTCTCGGTGGCGCAATGGTTAGAGTGCAGTACTGCAAGCTACTCCTACTGCAATTTGGCAGATCGAATCCCACTAGGCTCAAGGTTGACTCAGCCTTCCATCCGTCCGAGATGATAGATAGATAGATAGATAGATAGATAGATAGATAGATA